TGTGGAGGGATAGGAACCAGATTCTTGCTGATCGTCCAACCTTCAATCAGCCTTCTATAACAACGCTGTAATAATGTTCTACTTACTAACTTATTCATATAGGTTTTCTATCAAGCATCAGATTCTAGCAAGCATTAGATTTTCGACAAAGATATACATGCAAAACCTGCCCTTATTTGTAAGCTAAAGCATAACATCCTAAATAGTATGGTCCGAAAAAGTAAAGATTAACATTGAAAACTGCAAAGTGGTAAAAAGATTTTGATTGGTGCAGAAAGCTTTTTACGTTCAACCTTGCTCAAAGCTACTTAAGGTGCTTCTTAACGCTGAGATTGAAAGCAAGATTCCATAAGATTTACTTTTGAGTAAAAAATTATGCATAATTGTGAATTGCTGAGAAAAATCTAGCGGAGTTATATTATAAACAATAATTCTGGATTGAAAAAACCCCTGCGACTGCTCTGTACCTCGCGAAAAAATCTGCTTCGTATGCTCCCAAGAATGCAAATATTAGCAGATTTAATAAGTGACAAATTTGACTGTTGTAGCGGACATATTACGGTACTGGCATGACTACATGATGTACGTTGACATCCTTCCCACGCTTTCAATTTCAATAGCCTTATTCGCTTTGATTAAGCATTGTACCACACACAAAGCGCCGTTGCTCATTGTCGTGAAGGAAATGTCGCCATGAATCACTCGCAAAACTTAGAATGGCTGCGCAAGTAGATGGAAATTCTCGTCTTAGACGGATTAGTCTCCTGGGATTTTCTAGCCGTGAAACTTTAAGTATCAAGCTGTGTAAGCTTTTTTTCAGGGCTATACAAACTCTCGCAAGAAGCTTCTTTCGAACCATCAAGAAAAACTTTTCTATGCTTTTTATTGATATGGATGATGGCTTCGGTTCACAACTTTTCCTTAAAGCAGTGCAAGCGATGCAATTTGCAATCGGATATTTTTCAAACTTTTTCCCATCCATGAAATCTCTCATTTTCACCAAGATCGCGCCGAGAATCTGCGCTTTTTTCCTCCCGTTTGCGCGAAAACGTGGCAGCTGATGGATTATTGCCTAAAGCGAAATAGTGCTGCGTGAGCATCACCTTTTCGATGGCTTTTGCGGACGCCAGAAAAGGAAGAAAGGGATCGGGGGAAAATCATAATGGTTTCCAAGTTTCACAGCAAGGGAACTGCGTGCACAGAATTGTGAAAAAGTAAACACCTAAATTCTTGGATGGTAAAGTTGCTGGAATAGTAGCGATAGTCTCCTTATTATCAAGCCGAGCGGTGGTGCTGATGGTAGGGCCCACTAGTAGGACATGTTTGGGTAATGCCTCCATGTTTTTATCTTTTGAAACATACCGTCGCACTTTGGAATGTAGGCTTTGAAGCGCTTAAAAGTTTCAAGGAAGATTAGCTTACAATCGGGCAAAGTCCGATAGAGACATATGGAGTCACGGAGTTATTGTGTAAAGCGCCGGAACTGAGGATAAAGAATTTAGCATTTACGGTACCCATAGCTACCACACGTCAAAAGCATACTAATTCATGGCGGGAGCTTAGTTCATTCAAACTACTCTTGTACCGATTCACCTTTCAGAGAACTTATACGTCATTTTGCTCTCTCATACTATTACCCAATCCTCCCATGATATATTCCTCTGTAACAGAGTACTAGAGCAAAAAAATAAGCAAAAGCAAAAGAAAATTCCATTTGCAGTTGCTGCAACTCTTGCTCCATATTGCATGTATAATTATTAAGAAATGATGAAAATTTGAAGAAGATCCTTATTGAAATGATTTCCTCATGATTCTATGCGCATTGAAATTTTGTTTTAGATGGAGAAACCGAGGTTGATCTGCTCGTTCCCGTCGAGAGTGCTCTCAACAGTGATCCGAGGGTGTTCCGAGCAAAAGGCATTGATAGCTTACCTGCCATTGGAATTCAGGTAATCTAAGAAAGCTTCAGAAAAGATTTGGGCCAAAAACAGTCGCAGTTTTTTGTGCTCAAATTCGTATTTTGTACAACGGGCTCACTTATTCCACTACCTAAAAACTATTTACAACGTATACTGAAAGTGAACATTTTTTTCTGGAGAATTTTAAAATACCTTTTACAGCGAGGTGTTGAAATCGCCGTCCCATATCGGTTATACTTGCCGCGGCGATTTTTCCCGCAATTTTCGGTGCTTGCATCGGTAAAACCAATGGATCGACGTGGCGGGTACCTGTTCGCCGTTGTCAACCCGTACGATACGATGGTTGATGTTGGCGTTCTGTTAGAGCCAGCTGGTAGGGTGCCTTTACCAATTAAAGCCAGATTCTGAAACTTTGAAAATTTCATTCCAGGATCTGGCCAAACAAACATTTCGTTGATCTATTCATCTCGACGTGACACGACATCAAAAGCTATCGCATC